TTCGTATTTCTGAAAGTCTTAAACTTTCATACTTCACAATACTATTACTCCAAAACATGCTACTTGCATATTCATAAAAGCAATCCTTTACATTGATCAAGAGGTTACAAATTATTGGATAGAAACCGACTATTACAAAGTGTTATATATTACATAACTACCCAGGATATTGTAATTTATGCGAACATAAACTGAAGTACAAAAGTATTATTACAAACTATTCTAATTCTTTCAACAATATATGATTATACTGGTTACTGCAATTGTTAAACATTGATAGGGTAGGCGGTGACGCTTAGTGAGTTCAATAATAGATACAATATAATGTTATGTCATATATATACTTCAATATGGCAGAAGCCAAGAGAATCAAGGAGCAACAAAGGCATATGTGAATTCATGTGACAAGCTTTTCATATCAATCAATGACTTGATTCAAAGATATACAATCAATGAGACAAAACAATTTTCATACTTGATAAACATAAATAAAGCTTTGGCCTAAATGGCACAGAAGACATAAGATTTCTGATTAACATCTTGTTAGATTTCAGGCTTATAGTCCTGTCTAACCATTTGCCAATGCCATATAATAGAAGTCATTCTCTTACGGAGACATGCTCTACATGACCAGAGGCTCCATACCAGTACCAATGTGAATCTAAGTCCTTTCACTGATCACTTGGTCAAAGGTATTACTTTTGCTATAAAAATAGTGAATAAAATAACACGGGGAAATAACCTGGAATAATAACATTGAAAAGCACATAGCACATATAACACATAACATACAATTGTTCCTATATATTAAACTCACCTTAAAGTCATCGGGGGGGTTAAAATAGTAATTTGAGAATCACTTCGGCTCTAAATACGACTTTCTGGGGCGAAACCGGGGTTTAGTTGAAAACCAGACTTTACTTGGGCAGAGTTTCGACTTTAAAATAAGATTTTCTCAGGAACTTCGGGGCATCGGGGCTTGCTTCAGATGTTGGGAATGATAACGGAACTTCTAGGGGTTAAAAGTGGCTAAAAATAGGAGTAGAGGGTGAAAGGTTGTGAAATTTTCCAAACAAAATCGGGCAGCCTCGCACCCTATTTATAGGAGTCCGAAGCTGCTGACTACGTTGGGCGTAGTCTTCATGTACGCGGGGCGTACGAGTTGTGGCAGCAGCTCGGATCTCGGGCTTCTACGTGGCGATCATGCGAAGACAGGTAGATGTAGCTGAATCTGGGTCATCTACGTGCAAAGTACGTTGGGCGTAACTCTCGCGTACGCGGGGCGTACGGCTCCGGATAATACTTCGATTTTCATTTATTTTTATTTAATAACTTCAAAATTTCATATTTTTGACATATGAACTCCGTTTTTGACGTTCTTTATATGCACACGTAGGTGAGAATATACTCTACAACTTTCGTTTAGACTTCATGGGCTATTTTTGACTTCATTTTTATTATTATATTTTTAACAGACCAGGACAGGAAAAGTCTGTTAAAAATTAATAACTTCTTCATCCGATGTCCGTTTTCGTCAGTCTTTTTATTGTTGTACTACTAATGAAGAGACCTTCGATTCTTGTTTAGGTTGTTTCGGCTAAATATCACTCGATCTTTATTTCGAGTTTTTAGTTGTCTACTACTAATCCGAAACTTAGAAAAATCATAACTTCCTCATACGAAGTCAGATTTTGGCGTTATTTTTATCGAACTTCTCGGTTTAATGAATACTACGACTTTCATTTAGATCACTAAAGCTAAATAGTAGTTTATCAAAAACTCACTTTTTGCATCATTCGGTATCGTGCCGGTTTTGTCGCGGATCTTCGATTGGTCATAACTTCTTCGTTATAACTCGGATTTCGACGAGGTTTTCGCCTAAATGTTTCTAACAAGATTATCTATAACTTTCAATAATAAAATTTTACTTATTTCAAATTTTATATTTTCGCTATATTTCACTATTTGGCTTTTAATTGGAATCTCATAAGACTTCCAATATTTTATGAGTGATTCTAAACATAGTTTTACTTCATTTCTAGTAAAAACTATCTATTGGGGCTTCGCACAATCTCTGGTGAAGTGTCTCAAATGATTCCTACTGCTCAGGACCCAAAATAAAAGTAACACCCTTCTGGGTCAACCTGGTGAGTGGGACGGCAATCTTGGAGAAATCTCTGATAAACCTACGATGGTAACTGGCCAATCCCAGAAAAATCATGATCTCAGATAAGGATCTAGGCACCTCCCATCGCATAACTGCCTCAATCTTGGCCGGGTCGACCAATATCCCATTCTGATTAACGAGATGTCCCAGGAACTAGAACTCTCGTAAACAGAATTCACACTTGGAGAATTTGGCATACAACCTCTCCGATCTCAAAACTCCAAGAATCTCTCTCAGATGCTCTTTATGCTGCTCTCTGGATCTCGAATACACCAAGATATCATCGATGAACACGATCAGCGATCGATCCAACATAGGCTTGCACACCCAGTTCATGAGATCCATTAATGTTGTCGGTGTATTGGTGAGCCCAAAAGGCATCACCATGAACTCGTAGTGCCCATAACGAGTCCTAAAGGTCGTCTTTTGGATATCCTCCTCATGGAATCTCTTATGATGATATCCATACCTCAATTCGATTTTGGAAAACCATGATGCCCCCTGCAACTGATCAAACAAATCATCGATCCTCAGAAATGGATAACGGTTGTTGACCGTCATCTTATTTAACTCCCGGTAATCAATGTATATCTGGTGTGAACCATCCTTTTTCTTGACAAAAGGATCGGCACTCCCCACAGCGAGCTACTCGGTATGATAAATCCCTTCCCCAGCAGCTCCTGGAGCTGTAAGGATAACTCCTGCATCGCTGGTGGCGTAAGGTGATAAAGTGCCTTGGCGATAGGCGCCACTCCTGGAACCAAATCAATACAGAAATCTGCTTGCCTCTCGGGAGGTACGCTCGGTAACTTCTCGAGAAAAACATCTGGAAACTCACTCACTATTGGAACATCAACGATAGAACTCGATCTCTCGATAGCAGCCGCCTCAGAAACTGCAGCATATCGCTCATAAAATGTCTCGATTAAAGTGGTCTTATTAGACCCAAACATCTCCGGAATAGCCTCTCGTATGACTGCGACCACCTCGTCGTGAATCATCCTGCAAATCTTATTATCGCTAACTCCACTGCTCGTTGGGGTGTGGCGTGTACCTACCATGATGTAACTCGACAGGTAAAAATTCAATGATTTTATCATTTTTTTTAAAGTTATCTCGATTTTAACCTAACGGATTAATTGATTTGAATTAGGAATAAAACATAACTCTCTTATTACACAAACCATTTTTTCACAAGTAGAAGAAGTAGCAATGTACTTTTCTATTTCTTCCTTTTAAGGTTCCTTTTCTCTAAATAAGTAGAACTAAGGTGTCATTTCTTGCATTTAGACCTTTGTTGGTTAAAATGCAAGAAATATCAACATACTTTATTTGATTTGACTTCAAAAAAAGACATAATTTTTTTAATTACACAAGTCCTTCTTCTGTCCTAAGTGCAATAATTAGTAATGTACTTTTCTATTTCTTGCATTTAAGCTTCCTTCACCAAAAATAAGTAGAAATAAGTTGCTATTTTGTGCATTTACGTCTTTTTTTGTTAAAATTCAAGAAATAGCAGCATACTTTAATTGATTTTACTAAAGAAAAAAAAACATAATTTACTTTTTTTACTACACAAGTTCATTTATGACCCCAAGCGTAGGAAATAGCAATATATACTTTGCTATTTCTTTCATTTAAGTTTTCTTTATCATAAAGAAGTGGAAAGTAAGTTATCATTTCATGTATTTAAGCTTCCTTAACCATATTATATTTTGCTATTTCTTGCATTTAAGCTTCTTTTACAATTATCTGTCTTAATTTCTATTTGTTTTTTGGGTTTAAAGTGGGCATTGGGTGTATGTAAATGATGTAAGTACATGTATTAGTTACTTTAAGTGTTGGAGAATTTTCACATGTATAATTGTTTTTTTTTTTGCTAATACATTAGTTTGTCTCAGATTTAGGGGAAGAAGGAATATACAAACGTCGAGAATGATAAGGCCCATGAAGAATTGGCTACTTATGTCACAACTTTTATTTAATCAGTGATATGTATTTGACAATTATTTTTTGATGAATTTGGAACATACTTTTGAATTTGGCACTACAGTTTGTGTAATGAATTATATTTTTGTAAGTATGATATTTTATTTTGCATTATTAGACATTAAATGTTTAATTTAGTTTAATTTAGATTTGTTACAAACTTTATATATATATATATATATATATATATATATATATATATATATATATATATATATATGTGTGTGTGTGTGTGTGTAAAACCATAACATAAAAAGTATGTCGGAAAAGTGTGTCAAATCATGGCATACACAAGATATCACAATTTTAAGATATCACAATTTTAAGTCGTAAATGTTTGTCAATAATGTACAAAAATGTTATGAATTATGACATACAATGTCAGTCATAAATAGATGTCGAAAACGCATGTGGTGTATGCATGTCTTAATTGTTGGTCATAAAGGTCTATCGTAAACTTTATGATAGGCCAAATGTATGTCATTTTTCTTTATGGAATGGCTTTCAATGACAAACATTTGTATGTCGTCTATAAGCATTTATGACAAATATTGTCTGATAAGGAAAACCTTTTTTTTAGTCTTGTTTTCAAAATTGACACGGCCTCTATCATCTTTTCTGTTATGTTTTATATATTCTTAGCCTTTGATTATTTAAGATGGATGGTCAAGATTTGGACCCTTATTTCATAAAATATGGTTGTGTCATATGATACTATTATTATTACATTAATGACTAAAATCCGTATATCTTAGAATATATATACATTAATAACATTCCAATATTAGCTTGCATATGTTGGTATAAAAGCAGGGCACTATGATATCTATATGCATAGGTTTGAATGTATTTTGTTTTGCACAAAGACATGGAGAAAGTGGTTGTATTCAAATTTCTAATCTTTGCAATATTACTAATGGCCGGACGTGTCGTCTCTTTGAAATCGGAGGTGTGCCATCTCTTTTAAATTCTCTTAACATGATTCATGTGTATATTACAGGAGAATTACCATTTAACTAAAGTAGTTTGCGTTTTCTATTTTATTTATTAATATTTTTCTTTTTTGCCGTTCAAAAGATAAAAGTCGTTTGCGTTTTCAGAAGTCAAAAGTTAATATTTTTCTTTTATGCTCGTTGTTTTCTAATTAATTTTCCGGCATTCCAAATTTTTTTAACCATTTACACATTGTGTGTTTTTTTCTTGTGGTTAGGATCAATATTTAAATCTACATATTAGTGAGATCCATGTTTTAAATTTGAGTATTACCTTCCTTACTAGTAACTTTTTAAGACATTATATATTTCTCTTATGGTTGGTTATAGAAAATTCGGTACTTGAAACTGTGAATAAAAACTCAACATAAGCTAAATTATCTTATCACGGATTTCTGATGACCATTTATGAACATTTATTTATTTATTATTTTTTTAATGAACATTTATATCTTAAAATCTTAGAACTGTGAATAAATTAAAAGTTATAATCTCTATCAAAATTACTACGAAAGTGTTATAATTATGGATTTTGAAATACAACTAATCAACATTTTGGGTACTAGTTAGATGTTCGTCAACATTATCCCATCACTTTACTTTTTTTTTTTCTTTTACATCAGGGCTACATAGAAGTTAGCATTAATATTTGTTTATATTTATATAATGTATACTCTTTATGATCTTAATGTACAGTTAGCTACCGGGAAAGAAGCTCAACTCCATCTTGCATTCCAAATTCTTGCCATGAGACTGGAGATCCTGACGTATGCCCTCCTCCCACCTGCACAATTGTTGAAGATTGTAGGGAATATTGTGGGCCCCATCGCCCTAATTGTCTGCCATGGTCTCATGTATGTTGTTGTTGGTAAACAAGGTTCCTTCCAACAACTAGACCATGGTCTTCTATTGCAATTTGGATAATAAGTAATAATATGGAATGACATACCAAATAACTTTTTGAGTGATACTTGAATGGTGTTTGATAAAACTTAAGGATTACTACCTGCAAGTGATTAAGAATCATCATGGGTAAAACCTTGTTGCATATATGAATCATTATTTGAGAAAATGAGAAATTCGACATTCAATAAAATGGATAATATATTAACTTAGATTTTTTGAGTGACAAACTTATTAAATATTATCCAATGGCTATCAAAAAGGAATATAACAAAGAAGAAAATGTCAAAATTAGGTTCAATATAAGAGGTGATAAAAGTTGACATGATGTGAATTAGTTTGACCCGAAATAAACGAGTTTTGATAAAACTTGTCAACCTGTTAAAATAAATCAAGTGACACGACACAAAAATTAGGATATGATTATAATTGAGAATTTCAACTTAAAATGACTTGTTTATTTATATGTAAGTTTTTTAATTCATTGGATAATTTAGAGATACCTAAATCCAAACCATATATAAAAGATTTTTTTGGATTGAATTGCAATGTAAGTCAAGTCATTATTATTATTTTTTCTTTTGTGTTTTTCTTTATCTCTCTCTCATATATATATATATATATATATATATATATATATATATATATATATATATATATATATATATATATATATATATATATATATATGATTAAATGTGAATCACAACTATTGTGTGAATATATAACTATTTTTGGAAAATTAAATTAAAAAAAATGAGTGGTTATAATGAATAATGGCATGATGGTAATTAATTGTAAAAAAATAATTCTTTTTTAAATTTAAAAAAACCAATAAGGGTTAATTTGATATTTTATTTACAAACAAATTAGGAAATTTCAGATATTAAATGATACAAACCAAAATTTAAGGGAAATTTCAAATCAAAATTTAAGAAATACAAAATAACGTTTTTGAAAATTAATTTTTCAGAAGCGTTTTAAAGATAAATTCAACTTTCTTTCTTATCATTCTTATTATTCTTGAAGAATAAGACGTGGATTATAAGTTCATAACTAAAATTCTTTAAGAATAATAAGCATTACTATGGAAAAAATACATTCTTGAAAATTAATAAATTAATTACAAATGCATAACTTAGATTCTTGAAGAATAATTAAACATTTCTAAAAAAATATTAAATATTCTTTAAAAAAATACGACATGAAATAAATAAATAAATAAAACTAAAGTGCAATTACAAAAAGAATACATTCCGGTAAAAATGAATATAATTTATAATTGGAAAAATGATATTCTCATGAAATTAGACATAATTACGAATACAATGGAATGGGACATTCTATGAGAATGACATTGTGAAAATGACATTCTGTGAGAATGTATGCAATGAGATCAAACTTTAATGCTTCTTTTTCAGATAGTAATATTCAACTTATTCTCCAAATGAAGCTGATAACGTTATCATCAGAACCTTGCAAGATCATTATTCTCTCATTTTTTCATTTTTCCTTTTACATAAATAAAAGTACTATTAGAAATTGCAATATCAAATTCATATAAATTAGAAAGCCACATAGTAAATAACCAAGACCAAAACAAGTCAACAATTTGATGTAGAATCATTGCAAAAAGAAAGTTAAATATTAAAAAATAAACAATTCAAGAATTCAAGAAATTAAGCAACTACGCTACAAAGTCATTTAGCCAAAATATTGAAGATCTGAACAAATTAAGTAACTAACAAACAAAGCTTAAGCCAAATATATCACATCTATTAAAAAATTCAGGGATGTTGCTCCATAGAGTTGACCATCTTGACATAAACACAAATATATTACATTTGTTCAAATATCAAGCATGTTGCTCCACCTTTCTCATAGGATTTTGCAATTTCAACCTGTCATAACACCACTCAGAAAAAGAATTATTTACTAGATGCAAATTCCAAGTTTGTATATTCACTGATCACTCTTCAAAACCCCAAAAGACCGAACCCAACTAAGTCATAATAATAATAAAATAATGAAAACCTTAAACACGTTTTGTTTTTAAAATATTATATATATATATATATATATATATATATATATATATATATATATATATAATGATATTGCAATTTTTAATCCATTTGATGACACAATGATTTTTTTAAGGGGGAGGGAATCACATTCCTTTTTGGGAATAGTCCATTTCATTCAATCATGCAAAACAAACAGGTTATTGTCATTCCTATGGAATGGGACATTCCAGTCCTTCCTCGATTTCATCATACCAAACCAATGCTTCCTTACATATATATATATATATATATATATATATATATATATATATATATATATATATATATATATATATATATATATGGTAATACGGATGATATTGCAATTTTTAATCCATTTGATGACATAATGAGTGGAAGGGAATCACATTCCTTTTGGGGAATAGTCCATTTCATTCAATCATGCAAAACAAACATTATTGTCATTCCTATGGAATGGGACATTCCAGTCCTTCTCCGATTTCATCATACCAAACCAATGCTTCCTTAGGGCATATGGTTCAAGGTTATAAACAAATCAGAAACTAAACATTCAAATGTAATCCAAACACCTTATTTGCAATCAATATCATTATGATAAACTAAAAACTATTTTTAAGATGGCCATTTGCAAATCAGATATTATGCATTCTAAGTTTTTTTAAGATAAACATTTGTAGTCAGATACCATACAGTATGCATACATACTAAAGACAGCCTTAATTGAGTTAATAACCTCGAAATATATACATAAACAGTCAAAAAAAAATGTTAGAAGCTAAAGTAAGTTTAGCTAGTGTAATATACATGTAAAGCAAATAAAATAAATATGTTTTTGTTAAAGCATTAAAATCATGCCTCGTTTCTTCTTGAATGGCCTCAATTTCGAGTTATATCCAAGGATTCAAGCTTGCAACTCTGTAGTGTAGTATACAGGTAAACCAAACCTTGGGCTTCAACTTTATGTACTTATAATAGTTGATCAAATTTAATGGCAGGTGAAAATCCATCAGATGTCGATTTGGGTGTACCACATCGTAATTTTTCGTCTGATTTAAACCCTAATCTTCCATATTCGAGCTCGATTATGTCTTTCAATATAAAGGACATGGTTGATTCTTTAATTATACAAGATATTTCAACTGATCTGGACCCTAATTGAGCATGTCTAGTTTTGATGGTTGCTTTTTCGTTAATAAATCTGGTGATGGGGTTGGTGGTATTATTTTAGGGTTATTTTAGGTGTTTATGGTGGATAGATAATGAAGATGATGATGGTCATTATACGATTATGTGGGTGACTCCAAGTAGTAAAATGGAGAAGATGACAGAGCTTGAAAGAATATTACTTTTGGCCAAAAAAATGTTAATGACTGTAAACGATACGTAACATACACGTTTTGAAATCGTGTTTTGTAATGAATAAAATTGTGAAATACTATGTGAAATTAAGTGTTGATTTCTAACAAATGGTTTTTACTAGAAATAAAGTAAAATTATGTTTAGAATCACTCAGAAAATATTGGAAGTCTTATGAGATTCCAATTAAAAGCCAAATAGTGAAATTTAGCGAAAATATAAAATTTTAAATAAGTAAAATTTTATTATTTAATGTTGTAGATAATCTCATTAGAAACTTGTAGTCGAAAAGCTCGTCAAAATCCGAGTTATAACGAAGAAGTTATGACCAACCGAAAATCCGCGACAAAACTGGCACGGCGCCGAATGACGTAAAAAGTGAGTTTTTGATAAACTACTTTTTAGCCTTAGTAATCTAAATGAAAGTTGTAGTATTCGTTAAACCGAGAAATTCGATAAAAAGAACGCCAAAATCTGACTTCGTATGAGGAAGTTATGATTTTTCGAAGTTTCAACTTAGTAGTAGACAGCTAGAAACTCAAATTTTAGATCGAGCGATATTTGACCGATACATCCTAAACGAGAATCGAAGATTTCGTCATATGTAGTACAATGGTAAAAAGTCTGACGAAAACGGATGTCGAATGAAGAAGTTATGAATTTTTAACGGATTTTCATGTCCCGGTCTGTTAAAAATAATAATATTAAAAATAAAGTCAAAATTAGCTGACAAAGTCTAAATAAAAGTTGTAGAGCATAATTTTAGCTATGTGTGCATATAAAGAACGTCAAAAACGGAGCTCGTATGCAAAAGTTATGGATTTTAGAAGTTCGGGGCTCGAAATATGAGAAGTTCGTGGCCGTTCCGAGAAGCACCGTGTGTCGCATGTTGAGTGGACCGAAGTGCGAGCCAATCATCCTCTGACGCTCCTCGCTGTGGTGTCCGAACCTCGCTCCTCCACGTCTCACCTAGCTCTCGCATACGAAGCCACGTCCGAGCCTCGCAGCAGGCCTCGTGGCCTTCGCTTCTCGTGCCACCTGCCCCTCGCTGCTGACGCCACCGAGATGCTTCGCTTCTTGCTTCCTTCCCAGCCGACTCCAAACCTCGGCCCTATAAATAGGGGGGTGCGAACCCTCCCGGATAGAATTTGAAAATTGCCACTTTTAGCCCCTCTTTCCATATTTTCTTCATTTTGACTTTCCCCAAAGCCCCGGTATAAATTTTAGCACCCGAAACACATCCCGAGACCCCCGAGAAGCCTGGAAATTTTATTTTTTGCTTGAAGTGATACCTTCGCAGAGCCCGGTTTTCAATTAAGCTCCCGGTTTTCAACATAGAAAGACATATTTAAAGCCGAAGTGCTGTCCAAATTACTATTTTAACCCCCGGTTAACTTAAGGTGAGTTCAATATATAGGAACAATTGTATGTTATGTGTTATATGTGCTATGTGCTTTTCAGTGTTATTATTCTGAGTTATTTTCTCGTGTTATTCGCTATGTTTATAGCAATTGTAATACCTTTGACCATGTGATCAGTGAAAGGACTTAGATTCACATTGGTACTGGTACGTAGCCTCTGGCCATGTAGAGCATGTCTCCGTAAGAGAATGACTTCTATTCTATGGCATTGGCAAATGGTTAGACAGGACTATAAGCCTGAAATATAACAAGATGTTAATCAGAAATTG